TAAAGTTATCCTTACTATGCATAGTAATGTGATATACCTGAAAATGGCTACAAGAGCAGCTCTTAAATGTTCTCATCACTTGCACAGGAACTAGGGAGTTAACGTATTCATTGTGGCAATCCTTGTGCAATCCTTGTGCACACGTCAAATCACTGAGTTGCACCCCTGAAACACACAGTGCTGATCGTCAGACCTCTCTCAGGAAGCCTGAAGAAAGGCACACGCACAGGTTCAGGAGAAGCTAAGGGATGTCACCACGGAACTTTGTTTCTTGGTTTACTATACTAACAATCTCCCCCGCGACAAGGGGGAACCGGATCTGTTTTGTCCACTTCTCAGACCCCAGAGCCCAGCACACAGCAGGTCCTTCATGGACACTGGTGGGAAGGAGGGAGTGGGAACGGGAAAGGCATAATGCCAAAGAAATCTTTTTTTTTTTTTTAAGATTTTATTTATTTATTTGACCGACAGAGATCACAAGCAGGCAGAGAGGCAGGCAGGGGGTGGGGGTGGGGGGGAAGTAGGCTCACCGCTGAGCGGAGACCCCAATGCGGGTCTCGATTCCAGGACTCTGGGATCATGACCTGAGCCAAAGGCAGAGGCTTTAACCCACTGAGCCCCCCAGGAGCCCGCCAAAGAAATCTCTTAAAGTGAAATCAGATCCCGCCCCCTGCCCCCCCGCCCCGCCCCCTGCTTAAAGGCTTCGGATGGTTCCCTGTCCCACTTAAAATCCATTAGGCTGGGAGGGGGTTAAGATGGGGAGTTAATGTTTAACAGGGACAGAGAGACGCAAAAGTTCTGGGCATGGCTGGTGGGGGTGGGGGCCCAACCGTGGGAGTGTGCTTCATGCTACCCAACTAGGCGTTTAGGAACGGTTCCAATGGTGCATTCGAATTTATGTGGATTTTACCACAATAACAAAACTTTACACTGTGCACCCCTGAGGCCGTTTCTGCCTGGAGCCCTGGCCCTCCTCTCCCGCCTCATCAGCACCTGCTTCTGCCAGACCCTCCTTTTGCTTCTGGGGGCCACTGTGACCACCACCTTGCCCCTCCTCCAAGCCCTTTCCCACCCAGAGGCTTGCACTAGCTGTCCCCTCTGCCTGCGCACCTCCCCACAGCTGCTTTCTCACTTGTCACCTCTCAGCTCACTTGTCACCATCTCCCAGGCCCTCTTGGACCACCCCCTCCTCCACCCCACACAGTCCTCTGGTCCTATCTTCACAGCACGAATCGCTGGTTCAGATCCAGTCCTGATTTGCGTGTCTGGGGCCGGTCTCCCCCACCAGGCTGTGGACTCCGTGAGGACAGGGATCTTAATCCCCAGCAGTGTCTGGCATGTAGCGGGTGTGCGACAAATATTTGCTCAAAGATGATCAGAACACCGGTCCCATCCGGATGCAGAAACCCACCTCCTGCCATTTCCTAGTTCCCCAAAATTCTGCTGGTCACCGTGAGTCTCAGGGAGGGACCCCCAACCGCCTCACTCCCTGGAGACAGAGCGGACCCAGAGCCTTGGGGGCCGGTGGTTGTAAACAGTTTTATTGATGGGGAGGGGGTTGGGGGAGGCAAACTCCAGAGAGGGTCCAGGACTCAGCTGGCCACTCAACTGGCATGCATGGTCAGCTGGAGGTCAAGGGAGAGGTCACAAGGGGACGGGTGGCATGGGACCCTCTGACCACCCTGGGGCCGTATTTACAGTGGGGCCCGCCCGCCTTCCCCGCCCCCCCCAGACCACCAAGCCCTTTAGACAGCTGCTGCCAGTATGACTTCTGGGCAGGCCCTCCCGGCCCCCCTGCCCGGAACCCCTTCTTGTCTCCCCCTCAAATTCCTAACCGGCACCTTGGAGGCCCCCGGGCCTTTTGGAAGCCCCGGCGCCGGGTCAGCCAACGCCCAGGCCGCTGGGGCCACCACCTCGCACACAGACAGGTACACTGCACGCGTGGCCCACCGCGACACACACACACACACGCCGGCAGCAGCCCTTGTGGGCACACACACGCACCTCCCTCCCCTTCCTGGCCCCTTGCACACGAACACGGCATGCACACACACACACACACACCCACACACGCCAGGAGCCTGGGTTGAGGAGGGGCCTGGAAAGGGGCGGGGCGGGGAGGTGGGGTCTGCAGATGCGGCCCCTCCCCGTCCCACCGCCTCCAAGCCGCGCCCCCCACCCCACCCCGGCTGACACCCCGAGAACGGAGTTGTGCAATTGGATAGAAATCTGCAAAAGAAACGCCAATTGGAAAACAAACCCAAATCCACGCGCAGAAGGTCAACCTCAAATCCATAGCACATTCCTCCCGCCCTCCCCCACCCCCAAACCGCCTCAGTGTCCCGCGGCCCCGGGCGGGGCGGGGCGGGGGCGGGGCGGGGGCGGAGCTCGTTGTGCTTCCGTGTGGCCGAGGGGCCCCCCACGCGGGCGGGGGCGGGGGTCTTGAGCACCCACTGGAGCTGGGCCGGCTCTCTCGCTCCTGGTTCCCGTGGCTGGCACCGCCGAGGCGTCGGGCCCCGGCCTAGGGCACGGGGGGCGCAGTCCTGTCCGTGCCCCCGTAGGCGAGGAGGTGGGCCAAGTCCGTGCCGGGCCGAACGTGGCGGCCGCGGTGGCGGTCGCCACCGGGCCGGGCCTCGCCGCTGTTGAACGTGTGCGTGCGGCGCAGGGCTGCGGCCGGCGGGCCGTGCGGGCCGGGCCTCCGCAGGCTGCCCGTGGGCGGCGGGCTCCAGGGCCGCGGGAGGCCGTCGGCGGCTGCGGCGGCGGCGGGGACTGGGTCCGAGGGGCCCGTGGGCGCCGACACGACGCGCCGGCGGTCCGGGCTGGCGTGCGGGGTGAGCGGGAAGTCGCCGTGCGAGGCGCGGCCGGGCCGGGCGTAGAGGCGCGCGTCGGGGGCCGGCTCGCCGGGCGCGGGGGTCGCGGGCGGCGGCTCGGGGGCGCGGGCGGGCGCCAGCAGCAGCAGGGAGGAGGAGGCGGAGGCCGGGAGCAGGGGGTGGCCGTGCTCCCAGGCGCGCGCGCCCAGGGCGTGCGGATGCGGCGCGGGCAGGCGCTTCTGCGGCAGCGGCGTCTGCTCGGGCGTGGGCAGCAGCCCCGAGTCCAGGTCGTGGGGGCCGCCCTGCAGCAGCGTGGCCTTGGCCCAGCCGTTCTGCATCAGGGGGGCCAGCAGGGCCTCGGGGGGCCCCCCGGCGCCGCCGACGCCGCCGACGACCACGCCGCCGACGCCGCCGCCCCGGCCCCCGGGGCCCGCCGCCCGGCGCTCGCCCAGCCGGCTGACGCTCAGCACCGCCTCGCCGCCGCCGTGCGCCAGGATGGCCTCCTTGTCCTTGCGGCGCGCCAGCTCGCGCCGCTCGCGGAGGCCCACGTACCAGCCCACGCTGAAGCCGGACACCACGGCGCCCACCACGAAGGCCGCCACCGACGACGTCACCAGCAGGTTCACCGACACCAGCCCGGCGCGCTCCTCCGCCAGGCTGGCCCGCAGGAGTCCTGGCCGGGAGCGCCCGCGTGAGAGGGGCCTCGGGGACCGGACCGGTGCCCGCCTCCCGCCGCCTGGGCCCCTCCCCGCTCTGGCTGTCCAGGCGGGCCTCTCCAGGGGGGTCTGTCCGTCTGTCCGTTGGCTTCTTGGGGGTCTCTGTGTCTCTTTCAGAGCCCGTCTGCCTGTCTCTTGGGGTCTCCCTATCTCCTGGGGTCTGTGCGTCCTCTCCCCAGGCTGTCTGTCAGCTCCGTGGCCTGTCCCTCCCCTTCCACCCCTCCTGGAAGTGGGACCCCTGCCCTTCCAGGGCCCTGACCCCGGCCACCACCCCCAGTCCCCCTATCTGGGCCTGGGCTGCAAAGGGCACTAGGAGAACCTGGGGAGTCCCCAGCTCCCCTCCCCTCCCCACTCCACATACCTGTGCAGTCCCCTAAGCCTGAGGTGCTAGCCCCTGACACGTCCTGCTCAAAGGTGCCTCTGGCGGGGTAAGAAAGGTGGTCAGCAGAAACCTCTCTCCCAGCCTGATCACCGGGTGGGTGGGTCACCCTCCCCTACGCCCTCTCCCCCTAGTACCTGGTGCCGGGGCTGAGGAAGACACAGGAACCATCAGGGGCCCAGCCGCAGTAGGGGTCCTGACTGCCAATACAGTTCCTAGTGCAGACAAGTGACCCAGCGGGCCCATCAACCACAGTCCCTCACGGGGCAGCGCTGTCACTTCCAGGAGCCCACGTGACAAATCTGCGCCAGGGGCTAATTCTTCCCCACCTTGTAGATAAGGCTCGGGACAGTTCACGGTTGCCCAAGTGGCAGATTGGGCAGACCCGCGACGGGAGCCCAGGCATGGTTACTGCCACGATGGCAGGCTCAGGGAAGGATTTCTCCATGGTGAGGGCGCACGCTGAGCCTAGGAGCCTACCAGAACTTTACATCTGATCGTGCCCCCCCTTTTAAAGACAGGGAGACGGTGGTCTTCCTGGCCCCCAGCGCCTGCTTCTGCTGCTCTTAAAGATGTCGGTCAGATCTTATACCTTCCTCTGCTCACAGCCCTCCAGGGCTCCCACCCCTGAAAGCCCAAGTCTCTGCCCTGCCCCACGGGACCCTGCCCCTGCACGACTGCCCCCCCCCCCCCCCCCCTTCCCCCCCCTCTTCCCTCTCTCCCCCTCGCTCACTCTGCTCCAGCCAGTAGGGCCTCCTTGCGGGGCCTTTGCACGGGCTGTGTCCTCTGCCTGGCTCATCCGCTCGGCTCACCATTCAGTGAGCTGGGAGGCTGCTGGGCCCTGGACTTGACCTTGGCTCTCAGGGCCTTCTGTGCTCATGTCCCCTCGCCTCCCCCTCACCTCCGCAGCCTGCCCCAGGGGGCACTCACTTCATGCAACCTGAGTACTGCTGGCAGCGGGCCACGGGAACGCGGACCACGCAGCGGGGGAAGGCCGCCAGCAGGCCACCCGAGGCTGTGTCCAGCTCCAGGCTCAAGAGCCGCCGCCCTGCCTCGCCGTCGCCCGACCGTCCACACCTGCAGGTGAGCAGACTGGTGAGACTGGAGGGCGAGCCCCATCTCCCCGCCCGCTGGTCCCACCTCCCGACCTCTGCCCCCGGTACCTGTCTGGCCGGTAGGTCTCAAACTCCTCCAGGAAGACACTGGGCCCAGTGGTGCCCGAGGTGCTGGCATTGGGCCAGATGAGGAACTTGAGGACGGTGCCCACCTCGGAGCCCAAGAAGACAACGGTGTGGTTGCCCCAGGGACCAGCGCCCACGTCCACAGCCACTCGCGTCAGCTGGTGCCTGGGGCCAGGGTGGGCAGGGGTGAGGCTGGTCCCAGAGCCCCTGAGATGCCCTGGGCACTTGGAGAGACACCACCCATGCCAGGCAAGGTGGGCGTGGGAACATGGGTGCCCATCATAGAGGGACAGACCCCCAAGCTGGGCCCCAGCCTGTGCCTGTCTTCCCCGTCACCTCCCTCCCTCCCTCCCCCCTGTCCCTACCACGCGGCCCCAGGTCCCTGCCTAGTTAGCTGTCTGGAGGGCCTGGCTGCATCAGGATTGCTCTCCCCCTTGCCCTCGTGCCCATAGGTGGCCCCATTCTTCCTCTGTACCTGTCACCCCAGCCTGGGCTCTCGTCACCACTCACTGCCCACCCCCCCTCCCCGGAACCCCAGCCACGCCTGGGGACTGACCGCATCAGAGTCCGCACGATCCAGGGCGCGTGGCCCAGAGAGGGCACCGCTTCGTCCATCAGGGGATGGGTCTTGACGAAGTTGAGGATCTCATCGGGGAAGGCGCTGGAGGCATTGTACTGCATGCCGGGGGCCGCACAGCACCCGGGTCTAGGTGGGGAGGAAGTGAAGATCAGGGCGGACTCGCCCATCCCTACACAGGGGCTCTCCCTTGCTGAGGGGACCGGCTGCCCTGCCCAAAGGACCTCAGTTTTCTGCATCTGGATAATGGGTACAGCCAAACTCAGTCACACAGAACCACCTGGAAGTCCCAGCCCTTCACCCTAGGGTCAGGACCCCACCCGGGCACCTGGCTCAGGATCAAGGGGGCTCTCACCGGGGCCGTGGCACCTGATCCTCCGGCACGGGTGTCCAGATGGACTCGGGGGACTTCTGCTCACGGAAGCGGCCTTCAAACACAGCGGCCACCTGAGTCATGTCAAAGGCGCAGACAGCTGAGCCGGGGATGCTGGGGAGTTAGGTGAGAGATGGTGGTGAGGCTGGTGGAGGGCGCTGCCTTGGACAAGCGTGCCCAAAAGCCTTTGTCCCCGTGAAGCTGTCAGATGTTCCATCCCCAGGGCCAGAGATGCCTCCCCCACCAATACAGTCATGCTGCTTCCTCAACAGGGCTCAGGCTGGACCACAGGCTGGCCTTTCCACAGCCACCCATGTTCCTCCATGGCCACCCATCATCACTTGCCTGGACGTCCAATTTCCCAGATGCCACTCTTGTTCCCTTGCAACCCATGCCCCAGGGGGCTTTTCAGAAATGCATGTCTGACCTTGTCTCTCTTCTGCTCCTCACTCTTCCATGGCTCCCTAAAGCTCTCAGAATATAGTCCAGACTCCTCCCGGTGGCTCGCCACCTCTCTGCCCTCATATCCCCTATGCTCCCCCTTCCCCCCTCCTCTCCAGCCATGGGGCCTCCATCCTATTGTTTAAACATACCAAACTCACTGTAGCCTCAGGACCTTTGCACATGCTACTCCTGCAACTTGGAATGTTCTTCCCTCTCCTGCCATCTCACACTGTTGGTGGCTCGTTCTAATACTCCTTCCTCCAGGAAGCCCTCCCTGACCCCCTCCTCTAAAGGCAGAGGATGAGGACATCCCCCGTCTGGACTCTTCTGACCAAGGGGCCATGGAGGGTCAGTAGCTGGCTCTGTCCCACCCCAGCCTGGGGCTGACACTGCTCAGGAGTCCCAATCTGGCCCAGCCCAGGACCTAGGGAATATATGATGAATGTGGGAGCTCTCCGCTCCTGTCTCCACAGTGCCCCAGTCTGCTCCCCTCAGGGTCCTCTGACCTGTTGCTGGGGGTGGAGAAAACAGCGAGGACCACGGGCCGGCCCCCAAGGCTGACGACACCGGTGACGGCCTGCAGCACATTGAAGTAGAAGTGGGAGTCCCCGGGCACAGAGCAGTTGAGCCGCGCCTTCAGGAAGGATGTCCATTGCTTCTCCAGCACCCGAGGGGAGCCTCCCAGGTCATTCTTGCATACCCGGGCCACGCGGGACACCACCACCTGGTGTGACAGCAGACAAAATGGGGGCATGAGCTCCGTGTCCGCAGGCCGCACTTGCCATCACCCAGTCCGGGATGGAGAAGTCTGTTGACTCGCTGCGTGACCCCAGACAGTCACCATACTCCTCTGAGCACCATACTCCTCAGCGGAGACATGGGGATGTCAGGGATGGCCATGGCAAGTGTGGCTATCCCCATATACATCTCACGTGTTTACGGATCGCTCGCTATGCGCCAGGGACATAATCTTCATCATCTCCTACATCCCTCCCAAACTCTACAAAGGAGAAGACTGACATCCCCATTGTATAGATGGGAAAACTGAGGACCAGAGAAAGAGAAGTGACTGGCCCAGCGTCACACTAGTAGCAAATGGAAGCATTTGCACTTAACTGTCTGGCCACCTGCGCGGAGTGAGGGATAGGATAGATGGGTAGGTGGACGGATGGCAGGATGGATGGATGGATGGACTAGTAGATGGACGGATGGGTAGATGAACGAATTTGAAGGAGATAATGATGGATAGTGAGAAAAATAATGTAGGAGATAATGTGTGTATGGATGGATGGACAGATGGATGGATGGATGGACAGACGGACAGACGGGTGGACGGATGGATGGATGGGTGGATGGATGACGGCTGAGTAGATGGGTGGGCAGAATGGACACAAGTTGATGGAACTTGGGGGCGCTCAGGAACACACAGGGGGGTGAGTGAGTAGAAGGTGTCTGAGAAGGAGGGTTCACAGGCCGATGGATGGACAACCAGAGAAGGACAGGTAAGTGGTTGAGACGTGGGTGGGTGGACCGGCGAACAGCAACCAGGACTGGAACCCAGAGGCATTACCTGCCTTCAAACCCATGAGCCTCACCCAGGGCCGTGTGTAACAAGTCCGTGCCATAAATGTCTTCCACCCTTGGTGGCCTGGTCCTGGCTGGTGTGGAGGGTCTTGAGGACCAGAGGGGGAGGGTGGAACCTCTTGCCCCAGGTGGGGATTCATGGATCCGCCTCTGCTCCCCAGTTCCCTCCACTAGAGCCTCTCAGCTACATGCCCCCCCACCAGGGCCTTTTGGGGGTGGGAGAGAGACACCCTCACCTTCTCCAGGTAGTTAAACTCCATTGCGATCTCCCTGAAGAAGAAGTAGATGTGGCTGGCCCACTCCACCGCATGGACAAAGTAGGGCTCTGTAGGAGAGGAGGGGTCAGAACCCAGCCCCTGACATGAGAAACGGAGTTTCTGGGGCTGTGAACACATCAGCTCGGGTGAATGCTTTTACAGTGAAGGGGGGAACATTGGTCGATTACCCAGACAAAATAAAATACTCAAGGATTGGGCGGGGGGTGTTGGGTGTCAGAATCCTAAAATCACTGTGTCTACCGTCCACAAACAGCAACATCTACTATTTTGGTCACCCTCCTCCCTCATGTGTTGAAGAGCTAAGTGTCTGCTAGTAGTTCCATTTCGGGCTTCCAAACCACCCATTTCCAGCAAGTTTTACTTTAGATCCAACTGAAAGCTTTCCTCTAGCTTTCTCTTCAAAGAGGTCAGTAGGTGCCCAAGATGAGATGGGGGTCCCCTCCCTGTCTCCTCTGGGACTTTTATTCTGGTGGGGGGATTTGATGAACGCCTGCCCCACCTTTGAACCACTTGGAGTCATGTTTCACGGTTCGCAGAGTGGGCCGGTCCCCCAGGCTGCGGTAGATGACAGCGTCGATGGCTAGGAAGTCGGTAACTGTGGCCGTGAAGAGCATCCCTTCTGGATGGCCGTGAGTTAGGGGAAGCAGGTGAGAAGTTACATCACAGACGCCAGGGGCAGGGTGGGTCCAAACTTGATCTTCAAAGACTGAGCCCAGAGTCCAAGGAAGCTCCTGTCCCTTGGTTGAGCCCTGACCCCATCTAAGCCCGAGCCCAGGCTCATCTCCAGCTCCCCCCACTGAGCCCTGACCTTGGCTGAGTGCTGACGGTGGCCAAGATTCTGTTTCACAGAGTCACCTTCATCATAACCCAATTCCAAGAGTGGGACTGGGGCCCCATCAAATCGTCAGAGCTGGGGGCACTCACCAGAGAAGAGGGCAACGTTGGCATGTTTGGGGTCGTAAGGGCAACGGGCCATGCCGCTGATGTTGTCCCCAAGGGGCTGCAGTGTGTCCATCTGTGGGGGGGATGGGGCCTGAGTGACAGAGCTCCTGGCCACCCCGGCAGCCCCCCCAACCCATGAGGAGTCCTGACTCCACCTTGGATGCTGTGTGACTTGGTCAGCCATGTAATCTAGGGCTTAGTTTACTACTCTGTGAACAGGTCTAAGAATCAAGTTCAGTTAATCCTATAACTGGCTTGTAGCTTAAGTAGCTACGGCTTCCCCGATCTCTTTTGGAAGCCTCCTCTCCAGCTCCCGGTGAGGGGCCGAGGAGGGCATATCCAGTAAGGCTTCCCGTAGGAGGTGACGCGGTCTGGGGAAAGGGCTGGGCCAGTGGAGGGCAGGTGAGCCAAGACCAGGAGGTTGGACCTGGGGCACCAGGGCTCCGAAGGGCGGGGACTCACACTGTAGTTGGCACAGACGGGGTTGAAGGCATTGGAACCGCACACAAAGAGCGTGGATTCGTCCCGAAGAAGCAGCACCTTTACAAAATTTCGACACTCGCCCTGGGGTTGGTTGGGGGATGGGGAAGACAGAAGCCATGGTGGGCGTGGCCCCGGGTGTGGGCGTGCCCGGCGTAGAGAGCTGGGGGGGAGCCTGCGGGGCGGGGCCGGGGATATGGGCGTGGCGAGGACCGGAAGCACATCAGGGGCTGAAATGGGACTGGATCTTCCAAGTGACTGAGGAACCCGCCAAGGCGCCGAAATACTTTGCATCGGCGGCCACTGAAGGGATGGAGTTCCGGCCACAGCAAGGCTGTGGGCGTGGCCATGCGTGAGGACCGCTTGGGGGCGTGGCCAGGCTCCGGGCATAGCCATGGCAACGTGAGGGTTCTGTCTGGGGACGATGACCAGGACCACTGCGCATTCGCGAGCCGGGCTGGGGCGTGGCTGGAGGCGTGGCTGGGGCGTGGCCAGGGCCACTCACCTCCTGCTTGCCTTTCATCCGACACACGTTGATGTCACTGGGGTTGGAGCGCCAGGTCAGTTTCTAGAGCAGAAGAAGTGGTGAGGGGAGCGGGATCCCTGCCGCCCAATTCTTGCTCCCCGGCACCGGGTCGGGGCCCCCTGGCAGGAACCTCGAGTGCCGCCCCCACCCCTCCCACCTGGGCGCCCTCCTCACCCGCTGGTACCGCAGCTCCGTGGCCGTGGGGGGCTCCAGCTCCACCCGGTACAGGTTGTCCCTGGGGCAGAGGAGCCGCTAGTGAGGATGGGCGCCTCCAGCCCCCGCCCCCACTCTGCATTCTCCTGGCGACAGGTGTGTCCCACACGTAACACGCAGGGGTGTGCCAGAGCCTCAGCCACAGGCGACTCTGACGCTGATCACGCCTGCGCGTGCTTGTGGGTGCCATCACGCGCCTCCTCAGGCCCTAAAAGTACCCACAGGCCCTAGCACACCCCATACTCCTTGACACGCCCCATCACGCTTACACGCCCCGTGGCCTTGGGGTCCTACTGCCAACATGATGGACTGTCCGATGCCCTTCATCAGGTCCCATCGGGTGCCCCTCCTACCACTTCTCAGCCTTCCCCAGGCTCTTCCCTCCACCCTTCTCCTGCCCCAGAAACTGCCTTGGTCAAGGTTAAGTCCAGCAGTCACTTCAACGTCCTCCTGCCCCTCATGAACTGTCTCCCTGGCCCAGCCCCCCTCCTTCTCCTAGGAGCTCCTTAGAGCTCCACCTGCTTCCCTCCTGTGCAGCCTCGTCTACTCTCCTGCCCCCACCCCTGCGTCTATGGTAGGACGACACCCACAGTTCTGTCTCCAGCCTGGCCCTCCCCTGAGCTCCAGACTCGGGGGTCCAGCTGATCTTGGAGGTCTCTTTGCAGGGGGCTCCCGGGTGCCTCACACTCAGCTCAGCCACGCTGCACCCAATTGTCTCCCACACCCGCTCCTGCCTTGTCGCTCATCTCTGCTGAGGCTGCCCTGTCCTTCCAGGGGTGAAGGTCACAACTTGGGAGACACTCTCAACTTGCCGCTTCTCTTAACCTCCCACAAATCAGCCAGTACTGTCAGTTCTGCCTTTAGTGTCTACCAAGAATTTACCGACTTCTCATACACTCCCTGGGCACCACCCTCGTCCAGCCAGAACCAGGGCAGTCACCATCGCCTGGGTCCCCCCCCTCCATCCCTTGGTCTGTCCTTCCCACAACAGCCATCAGGAGGTACCCATGAGCACCTGAGTCAGAACCCCGTCCTCTGCCCACAGCTTTCCATGGCTCCCCCCTCACTGGGGTAAAAGCCCAAGGCCTCCCTGAAGCCCACAAGACCCTGCACAACCTGCCCGGTCCCCTCCCCACCCTCCCCACCTCCCCACCTCTCCCTCCTCCCCATCTCCCCGTCACCCACTCTGCCCTAGCGAATTAGGCCTCCTCAATGTTCTTCCAACACGCCAGGCCAGATCCTGCCCCAGGACCTTTGCACAGATTGTGTTCTCTGCCCCCATTTTTCCCTCTCCCTGAGATGTCCCCGTGGCTGGCTCCTCATCATTCAGGTCTCAACTGAAATGTCACCTTCTTGGAGAAGCCCTGGAGCCCCACATCAGCACCCTCTGTAGAGACCCAAGGAATCCTGACCAAGGAACTGTCTCCACCTCCGGACACACCATAGCGGTCTCCGGGCTGTAACAGGTGGAGTTTGGTCAACATCCTTTATAAATTCCCACCCCAAAGATGCCGATCTGAACTCCAGCCAAACAATATGACCCGACATGCAAACCTCCCCAAAATGCTGCTGCCGGCCCCCCACACCTCCCCCTGCACACTCTGCCCAACAATCCCTCATACCTGTCCCCAATGAACAGGGTCCTGTTGACACGCAGGACTCGCTGGATGTGGAGGTCGTCAGGACCCTCTGCGGGGGTCAGGCGTCCCGGCCCGCTGCCCACGAACACGGGGTAGTGGTTCAGGTCTGGGGAAGGGGTGAAGGATGGCTGTGACCCAGGGCAGGGGTGAGCCTGGTCTGGTGAGCCCCTGGGGGAAGTGAGCAGCAGACCCAGCTGAGAAGTGAGACCCTCCCTCAGGACTCCGGCTCCCCCGGGACCCCCACTCACAGTCTCTGGGGGCCACGCTAAGTGGCGGCGGCTCCTCGGGGAAGAGGCCGTTGGCTCCCCCCAGTAGCAGCAGTAGGAGCAGTGGGGCCGGGCGAGGAGGGGGCGCTCGCAGGGTCCGCATGGCGAGGTCGGGGCGACGAGAAATGAGACCTGCGGGCGAAGGCCCGGCGGTGAGCGGCGCGGCCTGCACTCCCGCCCTCCGCCGCGAGATGGCGCACGCGAGCCGCAGTGGTCAGGACCTTCCAGTGCCAAAACACTCCCCATCGGGGTAATAATAAAACCGAACGCCAGCCGCGGCAATAATAGTAACGCCAGCCCTTGTTTAATCATCAGAAGGACTTTCTAGGGGTGCCTGGGTGGCTCAGTCGTTGAACGTCTGCCTTCGGCTCAGATCCTGATCCCAGGGTCCTGGGATGGAGCCCCGCATCCGGGCCCCTGTGCTGCGGGAAGCCTGCTTCTCCCTCTCCCACTCCCCCTGCTTGTGCTTCCTCTCCCTCTCTCGCTGTCTCTGTCAAATAAATAAATAAAATCTTAAAAAAAAAAAAAAATGAAGGACTTTCTGACCACATAGCAGTGAGAGCTCCGGAAACGGTTTCTAACCAAAAGCTAGTAAGTACAATATTTAAATGACTTTGAAATGAAATGATATTAAATAATTTTTTTAAAAAACACCAAAAAAATCACGATAATGAGAGACACAGCGCTTAACCACACGTACTTAAATAATTCAATCCCAAAACAGATATTCAAGAATCCTTACAATTAAATCACAACAATCCTGGGGCGTCTGGGTGACTCGGTCGATTAAGCGACTGACTCTTGATTTCTGCTCAGGTCGTGATACCAGGATGGTGCGTTCTAGCCTGGCGGGGGCTTCCCTGCTCAGCGCTGGAGTTCGCTTGTCCTCCTCCCTCTGCTCCTCCCTACCACCGCTTGCTTGCTTTATCAAATAAATTAATAAATACATAAAATCTTTAAAAAAACCCACAACAATCTTAAAATGAAAGGCTCCAAAAAAAATTTCAGTCTCTCAGAATTTTATAAACCACAATCTGGGAATTGCCATAGTTTCGAATCATAGAATGTTCCAACTGGCCGGGGACCTCAGAGGGGCCCCGGTGAGTCTGACTTCCTTCCCAAGTCCAGCCTTTCTGACCTCTGCTAGATTACCTCTGTGACAGGCACCTCACTACCTCTCAAGCGAGCATGCTTTCCGCTCCCGTTCAAGGTATTTGAAGAACCGGCCCGGCTGTGCAGCGTGGAGACTCCCTCCGGGTGATGATCGGTTGGTGGAAGTGTGAGCAGAACTCACCCTCTGGAACCCAGCCCTCCACACCCCTACCAGCGGGGGTGCAGTCTGGAGGTCCTGAGTGAGAAACCTGTAGCTTTGTCCTTCTGGGGAGCCTCAGGCAAGCCCTGTGCCTCAGTTTCCCCGTCTGAGCAGCAGGGACATTGTTATGCCCTGTCTTGGCCTCAGAGCTCCAAGATTCCGAACCCTGGGAGGTGAAGGTGATGTGGGAACTTTGGCCCTGGAGAGCCTGCCTCTGAGGATTCAGGGCCAAAAAACAGGAAGGCCTTGCGTGGACCAGCAGAACTTCCTTTTTATGACCCTGAACTTCCAGGATTTGTGACTCAGCCGATGCCCGGATCCCACGTGTCCATGGGACAGGCCTCTACTTCCTTAAAAGCTTCCTTCCCTGACTCCTCCCCTGCTCCGCAGCCTCCCATGGCTCCCAGTGACCCCGGTCTGGGTCCCAGTCACTGTATAGCAGTCAAGGCCTCCGGCCCCCCACCCCCGCCACGCCCCGTGAGGCCTTCCGCCCACTGCTGCCAACTCCACCCTCAAGCCGCCCCCCCACAAAGCCTCCTCCCTCACAACACCGGCCTGGGTCAGTACAGCCTCTCAGGTGCTCTGCCCTTTTTTTTAAAATAAACATTTTCTTTTTATATTGTGTTAAATATATATACCATAAAGTTACCATCTTAACCATTTTTAAGCGCACAGCTCAGCTGAGCACACTCACACCGTCATGCAAACATTCCCCACCCTCCGTCTCCAGAACTTCCCATCTCCCCAAACTGAGACTCTGTCCCCAAGAAGCACAGACTCCCCATCCCCTGCCCCAGCCCCGGCTCCCACCCTCTTCTCTCTGTCTGTGTGGACAGGACTCCTCTGGGAGGAGTCCTGGGGCCCTCCTGGGAGTGGGGTCCCTCCTGGGAGTGGGGTCCTGTGGGACGGGTCCTTCTGGGTCTGACTCCTCTCCCTGAGCCCAGTGTCCTCGGGGTCCCTCCGTGTCATGGCAAGTGTCAGGGTCCCTTCCTTTCTAAGCCTGGATCCTATTAATATTTAACGTAAGAAACTTTCAAAACTTCCATTCACTGGCCACACAGGGCTCCCGAGCCAGGCTGCAAGAGTTCCAATCCCAGATCCGGCATTTACATGCTGTGTGACCCTGGACAGGTTCTGCCTCTTGGCCTCAGTTTCCTCATCTGTAAAATGGGTACAGGAGCAGTCCCGATTTCACAGCCTGGGGTGGGTTATTAGCACAGAACCTGGCACAGCACAGGTGCTCTGTGAGTGCTGATTATTATGCTCCCTGTGGCTGCCGCTGCCATGGTAAGTTCCAGAAGTGGGGGCTGCGTGGCTTCCAGGAATTACTTTGTAGAGTTCCCCACTGGCTCTAGCTCTAGGAGTGGTGTAACAGTCAGCCCATTTTACAGATGTGAAAACTGAGGCTCTGATTTGGGGTCTGCAGTCCCACCAGAGAGGATGCGGCAGCTGGGTCGAACCCAGGGCTCTCGGGCTCCAGGAGTTTGCTCCTAGACGTTGAGCACCCTAACGACCTCAACACCCTAATGACCACAACAAGATCAATAATCACCCAGCCGCTGCCCTTGACCCTCAACCCCAACAGGCTAATAGTAACTTAATACCAAAGTTCAAGGACAGGCAGACTGAGGCCCCAGGTCAGGATGCAACCTCACAGCTAACTTTTTCTCCTGTTTTTCTTAACTTTGTGATGCAGCAGCTGGAGGCTAGGAAGGGGTTCATTTGCGCCCTGTGTCCACCTGCCCCACAGATCCATCCAAGGACCCCTGGGCTGACCTACACTGGGCTGTTCTTGCCAAGACATGTTTCTCCTATCTGTTCCTCAACTGAAGGACAGCCCCCGTGTCCCCTAACCAAATTATGGGGTGTTGACCTCCCTGTCCCCTCCCTGTCCCCTCAGTGCCCTGTAGCCCAGCCCCCACCTCCTACCTGGTCTCCTGGCCTTCAGTCCTGCCCCTTCAGTGTCCTCTTCAAAGGAGCAAAGGAGTCTTTCTAGAACTCAAATCTCACCTGCTTTTCCTGCTCTAAACCAGGGTGTCTTCCCCTTAACATTGTTGACATTCAGGGCGACTATTCTCTGGGGGGCCATCCTGGGTACTGGGGGGTGTTGAGCAACATCCCTGCCCCCCTCACCTGATGCCAGGAGAACCCCGGTGTGATAACCACAGATTTCCGCAGACATTTATTCCGTGTCCCCTGGGGGGCAAAACCAGCTCCAGCTCCGCTCTGAACCCTTCTATGGCTCCCCACTGTCCTCAAAATGAAGTCCCAGCTCCTCTCCTCCATTCTATCACCACCTCTGGACATCTGCGTATGCTGTTTCCCCAGTCTGGCCCACCTTCCTCCTGCTCCCAGTAACCTGGTAAACTCATTCTTCTTGGACACCCCTCTAAGAAGCCTTCCCAGATCAGCCCAGCTGGGCTTCCTCAAGGCTCCCAGGTGCCTGTGTGTCCTCCATTAGTGCCCTGATCATCCTACCTACTAACTGCCTGGCTGGCTGTCTTCCACACTGGACTGTAAGCCTCCTGAGTGGGCAGGATGGGGTCCTGGCCACCACTGTGTCCCCAACACCCAGCACAGGGCCCTACATACAGTAGGAGCTCAATAAATAATAAAGGTACCAAACACCAAGCACTTACTATGTGCCAGGCACGGTAAAAACTTAAATTAACTCATTTAACCCATACCACATACCCAAGAGGTGGGTGCTGTTTACACGTCCCTTATACAGATGGGGAAACTGAGGCTCAGACATCGACGTCATGGACGAGGGGAGCTGAGCTGAAACCCGCTGCAGAACGGAACCCCACGTGCTCTTTCTGGGGAGTCCGGGCCACGTTGGGGCCAACTCACTGTACCTGGCCTTGGTTTACCCCGTGACCTGAAGTTCCTGGAGGCCTTGGCCCCTCCCCCAACCCCCTCAAGGCCATGTTTCTCTTCATGAGACTCAAGGCGCCTCTGCCAGCCGCCACCCAGCGCCTGCCCACCCAGATGAAGCCCCACTACCTGCCCGAGCACCTGGCCACCGAGAGCCCCCACCAGGGCCAGCACCAGCACCGTGGCCAGCCTGTGTACCCTGCGGAGTGGGGGGGCATCCCTTCACCCACATGTTTGCCTGCCCGTGGAAGGGGCGTGCCTCCTGCCTGCGGCCCTGGGGACCCACGGGGGGGACGGTCATAAGGCCACAGAGTGCCAGCCCCCATTCAGGAGCCTCAGGCTGTGGCAGGACCTCCCAGCGGGAACCCCGACCATCACTCCAACGTGCAGCACATGGTCCCATTGTACAGATGAGAAGACTGAGGCAGAGGCAGAAAACCCTCAAAGCCACCCTATTTGACCTCCTCGGGTCCTCAGGGAGCCCCCGGACCGGACCGGCTTCCCCGCCCCTTAGCTACTGTAGCCTTGACGTACGTTCCAGCTTCCTTCTGGAAGACTTCTCCCACCTGGCACTTCGCCAAGCCAGGGTGTTGGGCTACCGTTGGGCCGGGGACTTCAGTGAACATTTTAGGACCAGCTGGTAAGTTCCAAACAACAGACAAAACGTAAATCTTGTCGGGGTTTTCATGGGATCGGTGTGAACTTACGGACCAGGCAAGTCAGGCCTGACTCGCAGCTGAGGCTCCCACCCCCAGCAGTGCCTCCTCAGTCACCCCTGCCTCAGCCGATGGCTCAGGTCCCACCTGGGAGTCCTCCCCAGCTCCCCCAGCACCTGACCCCCCAGCCTCATTTCCTCGCCCTCGCGCCCAACGCCAGCAAGTCCCGTGGGCTCTGACTTTAAGTTCACCCAGAATTCTCACTCCTGTCCCGTCCATTCCTGATCAGCCGCCATCGTCTCCCGCTCGGACCCGCACAGTCCCCTCCGCCCGGTTCCCAGGCTCCTGCCTTCATCCCCGCCGCCAATCCCTCCGTCTGTCTTCCCCATAGTGGCCAGCAGAGGGCGCCCGTGAGCAGTTGCGTCAGGTCGGCTCTCCTCTGCCCACAGCCCTCCAGGGCTCCCACCTCCCTGCTGCCCCGCAAGACCTTGCACGACCCGTCACAGCCCCCTCCCCACCCTCCCCTCCTCCCCATCGTCCCCTCGCCCTGCTCCAGCCACACGGTCGCCCTCCAACAGGGCAGGTGCGGTCCTGCCCCGGGTCCCCAGGGAAGGATAACCGCATCTGTCCTTCCTTCAGGACCCTGCTGCCATGCCACGTCCTCAGAGACAGCCCCTCCAGGCCGACCCCCCTGTACGCCATGCACCCCTACGCCCCTCCCCACGCTGTATCACACTCTCAAAGGGTCCAACTTAGACCCCTTGCTCCTCTGAATGTGGTTCTCAGACCAGAAGCAGCCACTTGCAACCCTTAGAAATGCAGACCCCGTGGGGCGCCGGGGGGGGGCGGGGGACGGGGGGGGGCGGTGCTCAGATGGTTGAGCAGAGGCCTTGGCTCAGGTCATGGTCTCCAGGTCCTAGGATCCAGACCCACGTCCAGCCAGCTAGGCGAGGGGTCTGCTTCTTCCTCTCCCTCCGCCTCTCCTCCTGCTTTGTGCTCTCTCACTCTCTCAAATGCATAAATAAAATCTTAAAAAAGAAATAAAGAAAAAGAAATGCAGAGCCCCAAGCCCCGCCCCAGACGCGCCAAACCAGAGCCTGCCGGCAGTAAGATCTCGCAGGGATCGGCGTGCACAATAAACTTTGTGCATGGGTACCCCCAAATAAAATTATCGCCCACAAATCAGCCTGTTCAGAGCCCATCCGCCACCCCCCACAGACGGCGAGCCCTGTGGCAGAGGTCTGCGGTCTGCGAGGCATTTTGGTACAGCCCTGGTGCTCGGCGATGGCTTGCGAGTGAATGAACCAAGCGTCGGCACCAGGAGCGGAGTCCGGATCTGCTCTCCTCCCTGGTTCCCCTTGGCCTGCGTCCATGGTGCGTGGGTCCCCCGCGCGCGTATCCACAGGCCCCGACATCCACCGCGTGTAACAGCCTCTGCGCAGTCACACGCGCCCATAGTTGCAACCACCATGCATGCGTGTGCCCCAGCCGTGGCGGGCCGCCGGCATGTGTGTGCACACGCCCGTGTGTCAGAGTTCACACACCCATCCTCCCATGAAGCGGCTGCCTGCCACCCCCACCCCCGATGGCTTTCTGGCCATCACACAGTTTCCGAGGACCTCAACCCACGGTGGGCACCAGGCTGGCCAACCCCGGGTCTAATCTTGGTGGTGGGTTGGGGAAGCAAAGGCCCAGAATGCGGGCTGGATGGACAACACTGTTGGCTCCAGCAGTGCCCGCCCAGGTTCAAATCCGGGCTCTGCCCTCCGACGGTCCCCTCCCCTGTGTGGGCCTTGGCTGTCCCACCTGTAGGCAGCAGGTTAGGACCCATCCTAGCCGACCATGCGAT